AAAAAGCAACCCGCCACTCAGAGCCTCTGGAATAACAGCTGATGAAGGGCAGCTGCCTTCAAAAATGGATCAGCTTGTTCTCAGCTGCTGGTAATACACTCTGAAGCTTCCCAATAGCACTCCCCAGTCACAAATGGTGACAAACCTTTCATTTTACTTTCCCTTCCACAGCCACTGTTGCTGCAGCAGCAAATTAGCTGCCTTGAATTTCTCTCTTTGTCTGCTCAATAGCATCCTGGTGGTATCAATGAAGCTGGTGGGAAGGAGCTTCTGCCTTCTGCCATCATTGTTCCTAAATCATTGTTTCCCCCTGCCTAAAAAGGGACCATGGCCATCACCACTGTGGGAAGGTGAGAAACCAGCTTGGGGTCGTCCTCCAATGCACACTGGAAACGCTCAGATCACCTGACAGCCACAGGGATGGGGCACAGGGATAGGAGAAGGCAGGGGGACCATCAGAGCACTGCACAAGATGGGCTTGGTGGAGCAACAGAAGGGGCTGAAGACATCTTGAGAGCCACAATGAGATGCTAAAGACACAAAGGTGGTCCTGGGGATGGCAGAGGCACCAACCAGCCCAGGGACTTCATGCAGCACTGAGCAGTGCTGGCAGTGGAAGGGTTGCCATGCTGTGCTGTGCTGTGCTGTGCACCCTGGGGCCCTGCTAAGGTCCTCAGTGCACCAGCTGACTCTGCAGGGGCATCAATGCCTAGAGGGTTCCCCTGGCTCTTCTGGGTGCATCTCCCAGACACCACAATGGCAACAGTGTGGTGGTCTCTTGCCATTTCAAACTTGATTTTAAAAGTCAGGTTGGCTTTAAGAAGCTGATCCAGTTCATATTCCTGAGAGGGACAAATTTACTCCCACTGAGGGACTAGAAGGCTTGCTCTGGGTTCCCCAGTGAAACCCAAGACCACACTTGGGCCAGAGCCACGTCTTCTTGCCTATGCCAGGTTGGTGCAGGAGCCAGCTTGGTCCTTCCTCTGCAGGGAACTGAGGGGGAGATACCGAGTCACTCTCTTGCTTTTCTTCTGCCTTGGCCTTGTATTGAAGAGGATGGAGACCATCATCTTTCCAGCCAAACAGAAGAGAGAGGATGGTCGTTGGGGTTGGGGTTTAGTTACTATGTGCCCTCGTATCACCTCTCCTCATCACCACTCTCACTGGCTCAGCAGCCAGCCAGTGCTTCAGCCAAGGACTCTCGTCATCCCTTCCCACCCCATCTAATGGCTTCTCTTTACACCTACATACCACAAACATTTGGGTTTGTTTTTGCAATAGCATGTGTGCCATCTGGCACAACGGAACACACCTCCCCCGAGTATCTCCACGAGGCAGAGCTACAAAACGTGGCTCATTGTGACAGCATGGTGGGAATTAAGGGAAGGAGTTAGTGGTGCTATAGCCAGGCAGCCAGAGGTGTCTCCCAGGCTTTGCATCCTGCACAAAATGCACACTGGAGAAAAATACAGAGACAGTGCAGCCCTCTCAGTTGAGTGTTCTCCACTACATAACCACACTTCTGTTTCTCTGCACTTTCCTATGGATCTTGTTGGTTTTGAAGTAGCTCTAGGGAGGCAAAAGAAATTGTGACTCCCCAGTATGGCCTCTAGTCTAGACTCCTCAGAAATGCAGCTTTGAGCATCCAAATGGAAATCTCACTTTTATCCAGAGATACTTACTGTAGTCCTCAGGAACATACAAAGGCTGGGGATTGGCACCATCATCATTGTCTTCTCAAAAAGAGAGAGCTTTTCTCAGCTTTCACAGAGTGTATCTTCATATACTTTCCCCAGGCATTCCCAGCTCCAGACTCCAGATGAGCACAGGTCCCTTCCTCCAGCCACCACCTATAGCACGTGCAGACACATCCTCCTGCACTCAGACAGGGAACCACTAGGAACTCCTGCTCCTCAGCAAGGGAATGCTACAAACTCAGTACAACAACTTAAGGAAGGAGAAGGTGATGATTATTTTAACCTGTTGCTCAGGTTATTTTAACACCTACAAACTCACACATTCACCAAAAGGTTGTCAGGGTCACTGCGTGTGACACAGAGGACCAGGGACACCCACTAGCAAGTCCTAATGACAGCTCTGACATCCCTCCTCATTGACAGCAAAGAACTGGGTTCTGGGACACATTTTTCACATGCTTTAGGAGTCAGCAGTTATTACAGGCTGACCTTTATCTCAGCATCTTGGTTACTCACCCTCCATAAACCCTAGGAAAGCTGCTGCCTGCTGCCTCCTTTTCATCATTTTGGGCACATTATCTAATCCTTCCTCTTGTAACCATAGGAAGAAGAATCATGGTGTAACACTGCTCCCATTATCAGGGAACAAGTCTTCTAGGGATGAGCCATCTGTGCTGTGGCCTTATCACAGCACAGACCTCCTGGTCCTGACATAAACCACTCATCCTATGGTGTTTACCCATTTGTTTGCTGTCAGTCATATCTTTGGCCATGAGCACAGGCTAAAGTACCCCTTGTTCCAGAATTCCTGCTGGTGTTTTTACACACACTTTTCCACCCACACTCATTCCACACCAACCTTAGTACTTCCATTACAAATCTCTACAGTGGAGTCAGCCTAGCCAGCTTGCTCTGCCCTTCTCAACCCAGGGAAATCTAAGTCCCTCAGGGAGCTTGTTGCCACCTCCTCTCATGTGTCTGAGCCAAAGGAAATCACCCTCACCTCCCAGTGGACACAGGGAGCCTCTGATACACCATGAGATCACTTTGGGTTGCAGAGCTGGGGAGATCAACCAGTCTGCTATCAGTTCAAGCTAACATACATATCACACCTTCCCTTTCACAGGCCAGGGTCTTGTAGGTCAGAACTAACCCCCGGGACTGCCTTCCCTGGATATTTGGTAACCACGGCAGACTACAGAACAAATCTTCAATTCACCCTTCCAGGATCCATTAGAAACGCTGAACTGTGTCATTAACTGAGGTACGTCAGGGCCATGGAGAGCTGGAGTGATGCCGGCTTGTAAACTGTGTGACAGTGAGGGATGTGCTGAGGAACTTCCTCAAAGAGTTGCACAGGCAGTGACAATGATGAAACTCTGAATGGATGTGACAGCTTTGAAGCTGACACCAATTCTCCATCAGTCACTCGCATGAAGCTTGTGCAGGCACAGAGAGAAACGATTTCTCACAAACCTAGGCCTGTTGTCAATAAAAAAAGCGGCAGAGAAACTCCAGTATGTCTCAGTGTCCACTTCTGGGAGGTGCCCAAGACATTCAGACATCTGCATGAATTTGTGATCATTGTCCTTCATCACAAAAACAATATATCATGTCAAGCCAAAAACCAAAGGGATTTTGATAGGAATATGTAAATAAATGGCTATGTAAGTATCCCAGAGGATGTGGATTTGGATCCAAAGCTCGTTTTGTTTCTTCTCTACCATCTTCCCGCAAAGAAGGCAGAACACAGCCAGGGTGACAGATGAAGGTGAGTGTCACACAGCACCCAGGCCTCTCCATAAATGCCAGGTGCCACCTCTTCCTTGAGGAAGGAAAGAAAATAGGGACAAGTGGCCAGGAAGGGCTCCAGCAGGCAGCACCATCTGCTGCCAGCCCTCACAGAGCCCTGGTGAGCTGCGGGGGCTGATGCTCAGGCAGAAAACTCTCCTGCCAGGTCTCAGCCCCGGCACAGCTCCTCTGCAGAGAGCTGCTGGCTGTATCCCGGCCTGACTGACAAGATAAACATGAGTGTAGCACCACTTCTTGGGGCAACCAGCACGGGCTGACTCAGCGTTGCCTGCCTGGAAGCTGGGGATAAAAATCCTGAGGACAAGAGAAGCAAAGCAAACTCCCCAAAACTGTAAGGCTGGCACAGCCAGACAAACATCTTCAGGTTCATGTCTTTCTGCACTCCCTGCAAAGTCTCCTATCTTTATACAGGGGGCACAAAGTTAGAAAAGTGAATATTCATTTGGATGGTTTTATTCTCTTTTTTTTGGTTTGAAGCATTCGAATCATTTGGCTTGAAGTTTGCAGTTCAGCAGAGACAGAAAGGGGATCTGCTTTCATACTGGAATTTTATTTACACAAACTTTCTTAAATTATTATTAAATTATTATTGCTCCCTTCTTTACTACTCTAATATATACACTAAATCTAAAGAATGACTTTTACCCAATCAAGCAGCCAACATACAGTACCCACAGCTACATACAGTACCCAACCAGCCTACAGTACCCACAGCTCTGCTGACCAGTGCCCCAGAAACAGGACAGGGAGGTTTTCCAGCTGTGCTGTCATCAGGCTTCTGTTCACATTCACAACACTCACAGCCCACTCCCACCAGGACTCTCTGACTGCACCTACACTCTGCCTGCAATCTGGAAAACAATGTCACCAAGCAAATGTAGAGGCCCAAGCAGCGAAGGGAACATCTGGAAGGCAATCATCTGGCAGGGCTCGGGATCCTCAGCCATGCCTGATACATGGTGCAGGAGGAGTCCTGGCACAGCAGCACAGTATCCATCTTCTGCAACAGGCTTTAATAGAGATTATTCTGTTGCTTGAGAAGAAGCAATGCACGCAAATCTTAGGAAACATAAACCTCATCTGTGATACAGAAGAGCCTAAGAACTTATTTGCTAAAGCAACCCTGACCACACACTGCCAGACACCTGGCAAGCCTCATCCACAACCAGCTTTTTTAATGCAGGCCCGGGGCATTTACAAAGAAGCAGCTGCAGGTATAGCAAGACTCACCCTAGCTTTAAAGATGCACAACAGTGACTGTCAGTTGACTGAAAACCTACGCTGGGAAGTCAATGATCCAAATTCAGGTAAAGATCAATGTTCCAGGGGCTCCCCATCCTCCCAACAGCTGCAGGTTTAAGCTGTGCACTTGCACCACCAGTTTCAGGGTGAACTCGCACCTGGAAGAGCTCCCCCATAATCTTCACATGCCCCTTCCACTTTCAGGGAAACCCATGGCTCTGTCTATATAGGTAAGGAAACTTCTCTTACATTTTGCAGGGCATCTTGATACTGCGGCAGTGATGAGAGCTGTGACTCAGAGTGGTACGGGGACAATCCTTTCCTCAGAGTCCTCAGGTCCCCCGTGCTGGACTGCTGCAAAGACGACAGAAAACAGGACACTGTATCAATGAGATAAAGGAAACCTGTGCTGCTCCTGGCCCTGTCCTGGCTTTTCCCACGACCACTTCTGACCTGTTCTCATTACTTCTGCCTGCAACAATAGTGATAGTAAACACTGTAACAAAATGCTTTTTTCATGTCCAGACCTGGAGAAAACACCTGCAAGAAGCTGGAAGTGAACTGTTCAAGATCTATTCCATTAGGTGATACAGCAGGAAGGCATTTTTGTTTTACCTAAGTTCCTACACATTCATTAAAAACATTTGTTAGGATGCATATAAAAAATATTTTTAAGACTTCAGATTAAATCAAAATCAGAAAAAAAATACATCAGGGGACATTTTTTAGATTGAGAGTTTGTAAACAGTGCTACTACGATTCACCTAGACTTGTAAAACCTACCTTGACAGAAAGGGTTTCTCATTTGGTTACAAATTTGCCTGCAGCCACAGGTCTTTAGCAAGGACAAACACATAAAGGTCATCTATATGACCCTAGAAACCAGGTAAATGCAATCAACAGTCTGCACTCAAAGGGAGAAGCAGCACGGGGTGTTAGGATGACTGAATAATCTCCCTGGGACAAAGTTTCTGTATTGTGTTGTTACCTAGCTCAGTGATTTTGAAATGTGACAGTCCTAGAATGAGAAGAGTTTTTCATTTATAAAAGTACACTCACAAAAAGTCAGTACTCAAGTAGCCAAAATCAAAGGTCTGGGAGAATATTCTTTCTTTATTACCAATAAACATCCTCATTAACTTTTCATATTTCTAAGAGTATCAAGTACTGCACTGTCCTCTACTTTAAAGCTACAAAATCATGACCTTTCACATTTTTATGCTCCATTAAGACTTTCAACTTGCTTTTGCTGTAGAGATGATGTTTTCTACTTCAAAAGAACCAAAGAAAAATCATTGGTGCAATAAAATTTAACAGGAAATCTCATAAATCAGCTGAATTGTATAAAAAAACCCCTCAGTAACCCAAAGGCCTGAACACAACTGAAACTTTAGGGACTGTGGCCGTGCACAGATCTCTGGAAATACTGAAAGTTCATTTACATTTCCTGCTCCAAAAGAAGAACTGGTGCAGTCAGAGTGGATACATCATTTTCTATCAGTGTCAGAAACGTTTTCTTGTAGCTACATGGCCTGCTTAGCACACATTCATCTTTGGTTTTATTTCAAAATGTTGGTTTAATACATTAAAACTTCTACAGTGACTCAGTGCTTTCACAAATCTTCTGGAGCCCTCACCCTATCAACTTTCTTTTTATAAGCTGTAAAAAGAAGGGAAATTTTCAAGAAAGCCATCATGAGAAATGGATGCTAGTCCAGTATCATGCAATCTGCTGGGAAATGTTGTGTCTCACATGGAATCAAGCAATACAGAATGACTTCACCATATCAGATGTCTGGGATTCCCGTGAATTTACGAAGTGGTATCAGAGAAGATCTGGCCTATATTTCTTTCACATTTCACAATAGAGTCAGAGAGAGATCTGAAGGAGATAACTCCTTCTGAGGTCGAAAAGTGACTGCTGCAAAACTGAGTTTCCACCACTGTTCCTGGGAAGTATTTCAAAGGAAGGTTAGCAGGTCACAAAGGAAGATGATGAGAAGATTCTTAATTTACTGGCAGCGTCCCAGGCATGTGATGCCTCTTGCTGGTTATCCTGAGAGAAATTTACCTTGCCTGGTTTTCCTTCCACTGCCCTGCTGTGTGCAACCTCTTCTTCACTACTGTGTGGCATGGGGACACAGCAACCTCCTGGAGAGGTCCTGACACTCTGCTACCCACTCCCTTAGGTTGTCAGCTCAGGAGCTCATGCACCTTTCTCTGATATCCATGATGAAGGGGCATTTCCATGGCCAAGGAAAAAGAAAAATAAAACAGTAGAGTAAAAATGTGAGGCTGTAGCTTTGTGATGGAGACCCCAAAGGTTGCAGATCTCCTCGAAGACTCCGCTCCAGAAGGGCAGGCGTTGCCTCGACAGTGTTTAGAGTCTCTGGATTGCTCAGACTTATGCAAAGCACAGAGACCTGCAAGATGCACAATATTTATGGGGCAGCAGGAGTATAGAAACAGGCCCAAGAAAGAGAGATTTGGTAAACATTTGTTTGCATCCCAGAAACTTGCTCTCTTGCCCCCAGCTCTGAATGGGTTGGTCTACATTCAATGCACCACGTTTCATCACGCTACAGTTTGTCTTCATAGAAAGTCAAAATGCTTTGCCCACCAAAGGAAGGAATGCAACAAAACCCAAACGTAGTCAACATGCAATATCACATTGCTGTGCCTAAAAATATGCTAGTTTAAATTGATTTAATTAACTGCCCTATGCTCCTGCCTGGAGCAAAAATCTGAATTAATTTCAATTTGTCTTAAATTGGTTGAAATTGTGTTGGTAAATACACAGATACAGTCAAAACTCTGCTCTAACAAGTGTTTATAATGGATTAGTTCTATTGCTTTTTTAAAGCAAATCCCATTTAAGACAGTGCACTAGTGTGTGACAAAACTATTGTTACGTTGTTTCAGTGGCTGCTGATTATGAATCTGACCTAATGCATTCAATTTGATGGAAAGATTCCCACTGAGTTCAATGAACATCAAAACAAGCTCTTAATTAAAGAATAGAAACGAAAAAGAGAAAAAAATAGGACAAGACAAAAAAAAAAAGACATGTAAGAAATAAAAATGCTGAACAGAGATCTATTCAGAAGGGGAACAAGGTGTTTGGGGCATAGAGTGGGTTTGCTAGGGCAAGAAGAATTCTTCATCTGCCACTATTTATATGACATCCATGTTGGAGATGGCCAAAGTAATACTTTTTCCTCCCACTGTCTGTCATGAAGATAGTCCCTTTCATGAGCAGTCCATTCAACGCAATTTTCCTTCTATATTTTCTAGAAGTTATTTCAAAATGTATCTTACTGTAATTGTTTGGGTGGTTTGCATTTTTTTTTTTTTTTACAACAAGCTACCAATCACAGTTCTGCACTATTCATCTTCCTTGCATTGAAAGAAAATATGCATTTCTTCACCATAGAATGAAAACTGCTTTTTTCTTCCTTTTTAAAATTAAAATAGTGCGGTGACACATCTTCAACAGACCCCCCTAAACATTTACACATTCCTTGGGCTTTGCTATCAGTGCTGGAGCTAACCAAGAAAAGAAAGTGAATCCCTCATTAAAAAGCAATATGACTAATGATGCATCAGAATGAGTAGCCATTACTCCACTTAAACCTAAATTAAAAATCCTGATATTTGCATTGTCAATTCATTCACAAAATGAAATCTCTTATTACCTTACCTAATTTTCATTACTGAGATGTAAGTGGATCCCAAATTGCTTTTCTACTCAGAAAGGCATTTTAAAAGTACAATCCATGATCATCTCTGTTCATCATCATTGCTGGAGATTATGTTGCCAGCTAATGGGCAACATGTCTATAATAAATTATCCTTCAGGTAAAATTACTTCACATTTCTGGAGTTCCAAGGAATTTATCAGCAAAATCATTTTCATCTGAATTAAAGCTCCCTGGGAGTGTGCCGTTTCGATTAAACTTTTACTGGAAACATTTCCTAAGCTGAGAAGCAGAGAAGAGGGAGGGAGACAGCAAAGGAGACCAAGAGAGAGCTGAGGAGACTCACAGTCAGTCTTTATCCAACGTGATCAAATTGTGTAACCTGAAAAACACTTGTCCCCAGCAAAAGCCAAAAAATGGCTATTGACTACTCAGACTGGCTCTTGCTCTTTTATGTAAATTTTTTTCAAACACTAGTTTCATCCAAAAGCTAAACCAAATGAAACAAAACAAAAAACAAACCAACCAACCAACCAAAAACCTCACCCCAAAAAAAGCATCTCCTGACTTTCCCAGCAGTACAAAAGTGCAGGACCTGCCCTCAGTCTAACTCAGCACTGGCATTGCCTCCCTTTCCCAGCTGATGAGCACGGAGACAAGACTGCAAACCCAACAACTTTTCCTGCAGTGCAGTGCAAACCTGTGCTACCCACTGCCAGCACCGACAGCTCCGCAGTGGTCACTCTGATACAATCGCTCTTCAATACTTGGAAATAATGACATGACATTTATTGCTAAATTTTTCAACTAGGCTGAACCTAGAGTGACCCCAGAAGATACTGTTCTTGAACCAAAGCTCGAGATCTTTGTCCGCCTTTTATGAAAGAAATGGACACAGACATGCCCCTCCCATTAGGGAAGGGAGTTTGGTCTACTCATATCAGTGGGAAAAGAAAAGGACCTACAAATCAGGGTTTTAGTAAAAATGGACTGCAAACCCAACTGGTTTTTTTCTGTCTAGAAAACAGAAACAATTTGATTACAGAAGCAATTTGATGGGTGGAAAGTGGTATTTTCCATAACAAATAATATATAATTTTAAACAGAAATAGAAATTGAAGTCTTGATGGTTACCAATGCTTAAAATTACATTTAAAAAAAAAAAGCAGAACAAAACAACAAAAAAACAGCAAACACTTGTTCTTATCAAAGCTTTCTATCCTGCTAGCAGGGAGAAGAAATGGTGGCCTCTGACTTTTTGACCCACTGTGCTGAGTGATTCAATTGAAAAATAACACAAATAACACAAGAAGATGGATGGTGTTTGGGGTATTTTAAGGTCAAAGTACTACAAAGAAACATTTATTTTCCTTTCTGTTTCTGTCCAGTAAAGTCAGATCAGCACCACGGCTATGTTGAACCAACTGCAAAGATAAAGTGTTGAAAACTTAGAGACAAGTTAGACAAATTATCTTTTCTGTTACCCTTCAGTGTTACTTCTGCTAGAATGGAGAAAAAAGAAGAAACAGATTTAATTTTTAAACACTTTGATGTAACAAAATGGACTGTTCTTAACAGAAATTAAATACAGAAAGACAGAAATTTACTTGACAGAAAGTCCTCAGCATTTAAGAAAGAGATTAGCAAAAAATCTAT